ACTCTCTCTCTCTCTCTCTCTCTCTCTCTCTCTCTCTCTCTTAACATTATATATCTATCCCCTCGGCTCACTCATTCCCCTCATATTATCTATATCACCACTTGCCTCGCACACTTTCCAACCATTTCTGCTTCCAAATCTCTTCAGGTTGCTCCTCATCATTTATTCTTACATATTTTATTGGTTTTCAGCAGTTTCTTAGTTTCATATTCCATCAACTAATCTCTTTGTTTGTTGGTTCTCATACCCTCTAAAATTGGTTTTCTTCTTCTGTATCATAGATTTTTGTTTGGGGGACTTGGAGACTCCAGTGTCCTAGATTTTTGGTTTGGGGGGCTTCAAGACTCAGCTCTGAAGATGGAGGTGGTTAATGTAATGGAGTATCAAGCCATCGCCAAGAAGAAGTTGCCGAAGATGGTGTACGACTATTACGCATCGGGTGCAGAGGACGAGTGGTCTCTCAGGGAAAACAGACATGCTTTCTCCCGAATTCTGTGAGTTTTCCCTTATTTTAACAGATAATAAGATAGTGTATAATTCTCTACCTGATGTGGCTTGTGGGTTTGGTTGTTCCAGAGTACAGAACTTCTGGATATCTTTTTTCCCCTGTTTCTTCTTTTGAATGTGATAGGAACCCACATACTACGAAGGTGTGCTGGTAAATAAATGCAATCAATTGGAAAGAGTGGAATGGGGAGTTTGGTTCTGGCTCTTGATTTGATTGCTTTTGTGGTATTAGGCTGCTAAGGTTAGAGAGAGAGAGATTCTATATGGTTGCGTGCTCTTACCCATGTTTTAGTATAGGAGCTTCCTTGATGCCTAACAAGGAACAAGGAATGGCAATCTCAAATTATTTGGATGATTTATCCATTTATTTATTTGATCTTTTATCTGTTGGGAAAGTCCTTGTAAGCCATATTACTCTGCTGCTTTCTCTCAGTGATAATTTATTGTGGATCCTCATAAACCACAAGTCTTCTTGCTTAGCATCTCCATCAATTCTGGCTCCCTGAATTGTTTTTCATGTTGATGATTTTCCTCCAACTTTTATTAACCAGGTTCCGCCCTCGCATACTCATTGATGTGTCGAACATTGAAATGACCACCACACTCTTGGGTTTCAAAATTTCAATGCCCATTATGATTGCTCCCACTGCCATGCAGAAAATGGCTCATCCTGATGGTATATATGCTATTCCCTTGAGATAGACAGTCCATAGAATTTATCATCTATGAAAAAAAATCGGGTCAAATCCATATTAATATGCTTTGTTTCTGTCTATTTAGGAGAGTATGCAACGGCAAGAGCAGCATCAGCAGCTGGCACTATTATGGTTAGTAGTCTCCTCTTTCGAAGATTGATAGGTTGTTCTTGTTGAGTGCAGATATGGGAGGCGATGGTTTTATTCTTGTATAATTGACATCTTTGAACCAAAAAAAAAAAAAAGGGGTTCTCACCCTTTTTCCACTTGAAAATAAAAACAGTTCCACTTTTTCTCGGAGAGGACATGTTGTATAACTCCAGTGAATTGTGGTTAAGAAAGTTGACAGCTGTGTTCCCCTCATAAACCAAGTCTAGTGCTGCGAGTTCTCGTGACTCATCTTGAGAAATTTGACATCACAGCTTCACGAGATTCTTTCCCTAGCTGCCTTGTGGCTTGATCAAATTCCCTGAAAATCCTGTTGTTTCTTTCCTTCCTTCTGCAGGAGTATTTTGTTAATGTTCTTTTATCGATGACCTGTTATGCATCTATTATGCATGAATTACTGCAGTTACGTGCCTGCAGATCTCAGTTCTCCTATTACTTAACATGTTTAACTTCTCAGGATTAGTGGTCCCTTTGCATGTCAATTTTTTGGAAACCTTTTCATTGGAGTTCAGAAATAGGAATCAAACTTGGGACATAGATAGGGGAGTTACTCTTCTCGATTTTCCTGCTCTTTATATGCCTATATCTTTTTATGACTCAATGGTCTTATTGGAATAGAAAGAGGAAGGAAACTCCATAGATGTGAAGTTGGCACTCTACCGGGTAGTTTACAAAGTTACAACCAATATATCATCTTACTCTAATATTAAAGGGCAATTGTGAGTCTCATATGCTATAAGCTTCGGAAGAAAGAATGAACCATTTTCTCGTGAGTAGCAGGTATTACATCATTTTACAGCATGCACATTCACTTGTCTAAGGACAACCATATAGGTGATGGATATTCTGATGCAATCAAATTCTAAAAATATGATAACTCCTATATGGTGACCGTATATATTGTGTTTATCACAGCTTCCTTCACATGTTGTAGTGCTAACCTTTATATATGGGTATTTTGTAATTTTACTTTTGATGGTTGTAATAAATAAGGGGTATGGAATGACTGTCACACACACACGTACTGTAATTTTAGTCGCAATCTATACGTCATCTTGTCCAATCCAAAAAGTGACTTAGGCCAATGTTAGTGATGTATCCTCAAGCAGGGTTTACTCATTCTGCTGTTTCTCTTTAGAAGCCTTTTAAGAAAATAGCAGATATTTTCTAGGGAATTGGGTCTTTTGCCTTCTTACTTTATTCTGTGTCTGATTGGTTATCACAGACCCTGTCATCATGGGCTACCTCCAGCGTGGAAGAAGTTGCCTCTACTGGCCCAGGCATTCGCTTTTTCCAGCTCTATGTAAGCATACAATATTCTCTGTTGGTTGCGAAGATGGCTTCTCAGTCACACTGTGTACATTTTTCAATGTAAGATCGGTCTCTGTGTGGTGACAGGTGTACAAGGATAGGAAAGTTGTGGCTCAGCTCGTAAGGAGAGCTGAAAGGGCTGGGTTTAAGGCAATTGCCCTCACAGTGGACACTCCTCGACTTGGTCGTAGGGAAGATGACATTAGGAACAGGTATATATCCAAGCTCCCCTTCATACCTACCACAGCCCTTAATAAGTTACAAAATCAGGAAATTATAATATAATTCAGTAGACTATGTAGCAATGATTGCCCCTTTAGGTCATCACCATCCACTGAATGATGGACATCATGAACCAGTTGGTGCATATTCCCGCTCTCTTGATCGCAGTCCGTCATTTCACTGGATGGTAATGACCCAATGAGCTTTGGTCTTCCCATAGTCCATTAGATTGATGTATGCTTTCCTGTCAATATTTTGTGAATGGTCTCAAGGATTTTAGTTTCTAGCTAGTCTCAGGTGTACAATGATTGTGGATATGTAAGTTCACATTGCCAGAAATGGCTGTGTGATAATCATTCATCTAATGTTATGACATGGTTTGTCAAACATTTTTCATGCATCTCAGATTTACTCTACCTCCATATCTTTCTTTGAAGAACTTTGAGGGGTTGGATCTTGGCACGATAGATCAGGTGAGTGGATATGACATATATATATATATATATTTTTGGGGTATAGAATATGATATGGTTTTTTCTATATAACAAACCATGATTTCTAATTGCAATCAGAGTTGCTTCCCCTTTCTTTACCTCTTGTATTAAATGTACATTTTTGAGACCATGCAGACGGCAGATTCAGGGTTGGCTTCATACGTAGCTGGACAAATTGACCGATCTTTGAGTTGGAAGGTGAGTAATGGTATTGGTGGGAATGTTCTTTTCTGGATTGTTGAGTTCTTGTAGAAATAAATCAAGAACTAGGAGCTCCGCAAATTGTCTCCTTTACTGATGCCGCATTGGCTGGTCGATCAGAAAGAGTTTTCAGCTTAAGAATGTTCTCTTTGTATTGCAAATGGTCTTTGTGATAATGATATATATCATGGTTTTGAACAGGATGTGAAGTGGTTGCAGACAATTACCGACTTACCAATTTTAGTGAAGGGTGTTCTGACTGCTGAAGATAGTAAGCCCTCAATAGCTATGCTTTTCCTTGGTTACTGATGTTATTGTAACAAGGTTCTCTGCATTGCCATGCTCATGCTCTTTTACGTGCAGCAAGGATAGCCATCCAAAATGGAGCAGCAGGTATCATTGTGTCAAATCATGGAGCTCGACAGTTAGATTATGTGCCAGCAACAATCATTGCTCTGGAAGAGGTAATCCGTGTGTGTGTGTGTGTGTGTGTGTGTGTGTGTGTGAGAGAGAGAGAGAGAGAGAGAGTCTCAAATTTCACAAGCTAGACTGTTCTTGCTTGTCCAATTACATAATGTTTATTGGGCTATTTTAGATGCTAAGATTTTTCTTTTAAGATGTTTGAATCTCAGTTTAACTACTCTCCCCCCCAAAAAAGAAAGGATGTTAATATTCAAAGAATGATGTCTTCAGGTTGCCAAAGCTGCGCAAGGTCGGGTACCTGTATTTTTGGATGGTGGTGTTCGCCGAGGAACAGATGTCTTCAAAGCTCTGGCTTTAGGAGCCTCTGGCATATTTGTGAGTGAAGATCATCACTACTATCTTCATCTTAGAAACCATAATATTGGTTGAAAATCCTACAATAGAGGCATTTTATTTTTGAGCTTGAATATTGTTGTTCTCCCTGGAAAACGCAGATTGGAAGGCCAGTCCTCTTCTCCTTGGCTGCTGAAGGTGAGGCTGGGGTGCGGAAGGTGCTCCAAATGCTTCGAGATGAGTTCGAGCTGACCATGGCTTTGAATGGTTGCCGCTCACTGAAGGAAATCACTCGCAACCATATAATAACAGAGGCTGATCAGCTTCGTATGGGTTCCCGGTTGTAAAAGGACAGTGTCATGATCCCTCCATGTGCACCACTGCACTGTGACTTAAAAGTGTGCCTTTACATTCTAATAAGTGATAGCAGGTAAGTCATGGTCATATACTACCGGGATCCACATTCTTTGGAAAAACTTTTGCAAGGATATGCTTCTGTCCTTGAATACTCTGAATCATTAAGCATTTGTATTCGTAACCATGGTGGATGACACTTTCATCTTTCATGAATTGGAAATACCAATACCTATCCCTCTCTGAATGGGCTATCATTACTCTAAACTAATGAATGGCATATATCTTATAAATTTTAGTCATAAAATTATTTATATTTCAACTTATGTGAAGAGATTTTATCAGTCTTGTTTATGTGAGTCTTTTAAATTTCCGTATTATAGGATCTTGAACATCCCCTCATGACTTGGTGTTTGAGTTAAATTGTCAACTTCAAATTTATGATATGAAGATGAAAAAAAAAGTTGAAATGGTTCACAGCTTTTATGATGTACGATTGCTGGTTATTCCATAAAAATTTTGTTGTCTAATAAGAAAATTGAGATGGTTTGACAAGTTATTCATGCAGCACAATAATAAATTTTTTAACCAAATTGCTGAGTGATTTATATACTAAAGGCTGCAACAAGGGGCTGTTTCAAAAGAAACGACATAACCTTTTTTTATTTATCAAGAAGGGCACACTCCTCTTCATAAACATTGTAGTCTAAACTCTTACTGGGTCTTATTTGATGCCGAGGGTTCCATATTTTATTGTGTTAGTTGGGATGAGCAAATCACTGTGTTAGTAAGGACGAGCAGCATTACGCTGATGTATTTTGCTGTGGCTGCATTTACATTGTGGCTTTTGCACAAACATCATAGCCACCCAAGCCCTCAGATATAGAATACGATGGCCAGGTTGGGGCATTACCCCGCACAAAGTTAGAGAAATTTTTTGTCAGACTTTGATCACATTCAATAGCACACACCCGGCTGCTTGATTTCACATCTGATAGCCAGGGGTAATTGCGACCTTTTGTATCAAAAGTAAACTGTCTCATTGTATATTTTCTCTTTTTACTATGTGAATTATTCACTTCGTACCATGGAATTTCACTCAAGATTTGATTTTTGTCTGTCAACTTCTTGGACTTTTCAACTTTTGATTTTTGCACTCAAGTGTTATGATGGCCACCTCTACGGTTGAAAAAAAATCAAACAGGGAGTTGAATCATTGTCAAGTTGTATGAACATGTAAAAAAGTTTTTGAAAGGGAAAATTATTGAAACCCCCTCCCTTGACTCTACTTTCTAGACATCCTCCCCTATACAACTTTTTAAAACACTAATTTTTTGTTAGCACTTTCCAGTAAAAAAGGCAATAAATTTATCACCAAAATAGCCCTCTCTCCCCCTTATACCCACATTTTCATAGTGCTAGTCCAGCACAAAACACTGACCGGGTTCAGAACTTGGGTCCGGCAATGTTTTGTGTTGAATGGGCACTATGAAATCAATGTGCCGGACCGGTCTGGCACAATTTTTGTGCTTTGCGCTAGGCCGGACTCAATCCTACACATTTTTTGTGCCGAACGGGGCATTTTCATTCTGGCACAACAAAAAAGAAAGAAAAGCGGGTGACATAAACATGGGTATTTTGGTAAAAAAAAGCTACATTTTTTATTTGGGGGTAGTAGTAAAAGAAAACATTATTAGGGCTCATACGGTGGTCAGTGGTTGTGGTTCGTAATTTCCCCTTTTTGAAGCAAAAATTATAATGAATTAAAACTATGAAGGAAATGGAAAAAAAGAAGGCTCTTGTTATGCACAATAAATGACTGAAATTTTATATTTTTGAAGAAAAAAATTATTTAAATGACGATTTTGAAATTTTATTTAATAAACTTAGATGCTTGGAGCTTATTTAAACGTAATTAGGAGATGTCTTTTTCATTGTTCCAAAGCAAGATGAATCCTTTTGTCTATCTTTATAACTAGAGAGGATTTTATGTTGACAAAGTGTTGGGCAAAAGGAGGCATTTAACAGCTACTGTTTAGGCTTAAATACCAAAGTAGAGCCCAAACCGAGGAAAACCATATCTTCTGAAACAAAATGATGCATAAAAATAAAATCCAGTAAGGATTATCTTCATTTTCTTCTTCCTTGATGTTGAATTTAAAAGTGGATTCAGATTCATAATTGTCACGCCCAAAATACGAAAGGGACATGATGAGCCCCATCAAAAGGCAGAAAATCCAAAGTTAGGGAGTACCAATGTAAGGGAATCACGTCTATAGTGTGGTATGATACAGCATGCCATCCAAACATGCCCATAAAGTGGGAGCTGATGCCGAAATCAAATTTTGTAAACAAGAAGAACAAAATTCAACATTCCTTTGGACTCAATAAATATGTTGCAAATTGATGTGTAACATGTCATGGGAAGCTTTTGAGACCAATATACAACAGAGTACAATTGGTAATGCTGTAACTGTTCTTAGGCTGAGTTTGGGAGAGCCACCTTTTAACCTTGCTAATGCAACTTTCGGCATCTCATTGCACAATGTACAACAGAAACAAAAAAGGGTCAGGATTTTTTGACAATGTATTGTAAATTAAGGTTTAAAAGTGGCATTATGAATGTCCATTCAATCGAGTAAGGCACTACGAAACACGACTCTATAGACCTGTCATAGGAGTTTTAGATCTATTGCACATTAATGCATTAAATGCAGCCTTGTATCAATTCTCTAAAAACTAGGAATTTATAGTATGGATTCATCTCCTCAAATGAGGAGATTATCTTCTTCGATCTTCAAACACTTGCTCTTAATCAACTCGTTAATTGGGATGACAAAAAACAGACTATTCAGTGTGCTGGAAATCGGCAACCATTTCTAAATGTAAACTGATAAAGCTCATGCACGAGTCAAGCTGCAAAACCAGTAGCCAGTTCTACATGTGCGGCTCATCATACAATAAATTCTTAGATGTCACAACTTTGTGACAATGTCGCAATAGAGGCCCATCATATCATATAAATAGATCATCTTCATAGTTTGCAACCAGAAGAAACTCTGATGATCTGAAGCAAGCTGTTTGCATTTATAGGCTTGTGCCATAAGCAATGGCTTTTCTCCTAGTTTACAAGCTGCTATTTTGTGGCTCTTTTCTTGTGATAAAATCTGCAGGTTTTTTACATTGCCCAACTCATATAAAAAGATTTAACACATGATCCATTCAGCACAAACAGCCCCATATCACATTCCAAAGTCAGAAATGAACAAGATGGATGCCACTTTTCAATTAATTAAATAAAATTATTTGTTGTATCCATAAATTACTGCTTGCTCTTCATGGAACATACAACAGAAAAGTAAACATTGATAGAAGGAAAGCTTAAAGTTGTGCACTATTCTCAGTTTGACTGTTGAGGAGTAACCGTTGCTGAGTCTATTTTTTTCGTGGTTATTTTATTTTGTCTATTGAATAAAGAGAAGAACTCAAGAAAAAGAAATTAAAATATTTGATTTCCCTAATTACCTACGTACCAGTCCCCTTCTCTAATCTATCTAACTTTGAATAATATGATGTTTTCTTAATTATGAAAGTTGCTATTTCCAATGAATTATCAACGGGATTTTGTTTTCTGTTATTGAACTCTCTCTCCCTCTCATCCTTCATGAGAAAGCCAATGTTTTGTGTTTGCAATAAGTTCATAACATGTTGCAAACATGCATAAATGCTCTCTATTGCCAACCATATGCATTAAGTATAAGAACAGGTTCATGTTGGGTGCCAATCTTAAATTGGAGAAGTAAGGCACACCCCAAAATCCACCAAAAAGTGTTGTTCCAACGATGAAAAGCTCTCAAATCAATCATCTAGATCTCGAGATGTATGAATATTAAAAAAAAGAGATTTCAGTCTTAAAAATAGTACATCTTGAAATGCATTTTTTAGACTATTTATTTTTAAAATTTTCAAGTTTTTATAGATTTGATTGATCTGCACCAAGGGTTTCAAGAGAGGGTGAAATGTATATCGGCTGGGTTTTGGGATTTGTTGGTGGTAACATGTTGCCTTCATAGGCATGCATATGCATGAAATGTCAAATAGGGGCAATGATAAGAATAGAACTCCTAAAAAGAGTTGATTCCTGTCGTTTAGGAGGAGCTGATTCAATTTCCTTCTATCTTCTCCCCCACCTTCCCTTCAATTTCCATGAAGACACTGCATGTTTCCTTACCGTTGTCTATCAGTCTCTCTCTTGCTGTTCTCTTTGCTTGCTAAATTTGCAGCATGGATTCGTTTATTAGCCCTACTGCATATGCGCATTCAATGCAATTTTTTCCAAATTTTTATTGACCCAAGGGGGCCTTGGGCGTGCATAGCATAAAAAGGAAAGGCCTGCGCAAAGAGAAAAAGCAGGAGCTTATGAGGTTTGCCCAGGTTTCAACCATTATTTATTGCTAATAAATCTTATCCTAGAACATGTACAAATATAGGACCACAATCTCTATCCACTCACACAACATGGCCCTCCTTGACAGACCTCTTTCTTTCTCTCTCTCCGTGTGCATATATACATGCATCTTTTTCTCTTTTTGTAGTATGCTCTCTCTCTCTCTACCTCTGTCATTTCTCCCTTCTATTGAGCCTAAGGAACCCAACCTTACACCCCACTCAGTATTGGAGCCAGCCCTGTTGATTTGATGAGGAAAAAAATGGCCTCTTCTTCTTCTTCCAATGAGCAACCCTCGTCTTCTTCTTCCAAAGAAGCACACTCCTCATCATGTTATCCCATCGTTTTGATCCTGCAACCCCCGGCCTCACCCCCAACAACCTCGCAATTCCAATCAGCTCCCATGGCCCCAACTACCACTTCTACTATTACAACTAACACCACCACCACTACCACCACCACCTCCAAACCAAGCAATAACACCAACAATCCTACCACCACCACTAAACAAAACAATGATGCTACTCCTATGACCACCACCATCCAACCTAACAACGATACTGCTATAAGAACCACCACCACTGCCACTGCTAATACTACCACTAATAGTAATGGTGGTGTGAGAGATCGTGAACAGGCTTCAGCTGTTCCTCATAGAATTGGACAGGGAATTAAAGGATTATCCTGCATTTATTGTGGACAAATCTTCACATCCTTCCAGGCCTTAAATGGCCATCAAAATGGCCATAGGGTGGAACTCTTCCTTTTGAGAAGATCTCAATGGGAAAAACGATTACGACAACAGCGACAACAAGCTCAACAGGGGCATACTCCATCCTCAACCTCAAATGCGGCATGTGCCTCTCTCCCACCCACCCTCACAGCAGCCTCAACCTCAACTAAGGCTTGTGCCTCTCTACCCCCTTCCCTCGCAACTGTCTCAACCTCAACTGAGGCTTGTGCCTGCTTCCCACCCTTCCTTGCAACATCCTCAACCTCAACTAAGGCACGTGCGTCTCTCCCACCTTCACTCTCAACAACCTCAACTGAGGCATGTGCCTCTCTCCCACACTCCCTTGCAGCAGTCTCAATCTCAACTGAGGCGTGCACCTCTCTCGTACCCTTCCTTTCAACAGTCTCAGCCTCAACCTCAACCTCCAGTGAGGCATGTGCCACTTTCCCACCCTCCCTCACAACAGCCTCAACCTCTCTCTCGTCCTCCTGCCTCACAACAGTCATTGGCCCTCTCCAGTGGCTTTAGATCAAATCTAACTAGTGGCCTTAAGCTCACTGTCTCACACAATTTCCACAGACGATCATCCTTGGTCTCCAGGAGCACAGAGATTGTCTGCGCAAGAGGTAATCAAGGCATTAGCACTCTGCCACAACACATAGGAAATGGCTCTTCAAGTAAATCACCCAATCTAGATCTTAGCTTAACATTAAACATAGACAACAATCAGGAGTTGGACCTCACTTTGCACCTGTAAAGCCAGTGTCCTTGCTCAATGAAAAGGAATGGTGGATCTTCATCTGTGGTTGCTTGTGTCCTAGGAAGATGGCTACTCTAGAGAACAAGTTCCTATAAATTTCAGTTCAGTCTAGTAAGTGGCCAATCTCTGTGATTTGGACCTCAATAGGCTTTGATCTATGAGGTCAAAAGGGAATATCACTGTATGCTTCATTTCTTTTGCTATGAATGGATAGTTATTGACATGTTTGTGCGAGTTGTCTCCGAATTCCTCTTTTGTTCGTTATTTGTTGGTTGTCGGTTTCTGATCAACCACATTCGCGTCATGCTGGCTCAACACGGGTCTTGTCTATCGATGACTGTGTCCAATTATAGCTTTCTTACTCAATTAAATCTCCTTGATATTATTAGATGGCATGCCTAATGAAATAATGAGGAAATAGAACTAGATTTCAACAAAATACGCAGTAAGAAATAAGAATATCAGTTACCAAAAACACAATGGCAGTACATATCATTGAAGAGGCAAAAGGAGGTCAATTTTCACCGAGCTTTTCTCAGTAAAGTGCACAGAATCATTGATCTATGGTTGAGTACCAATAGTCATTATGGGGATGTTATTGGAGTTAGTTTTGTCGAGATATTATCGGGTGTCTTTTATTGGATGATTAATGGCAATATACCAGACTATTACATATACATTATTTGATATGAAATAAAATTTAGTATGACAAGGGAATATGATTTTAAATTAAATACATTTTAAAAATATAAATATGCTAAATTTTTTCAAATAATTTTGTACATCAAAATAGAGACTGATAAATACTTTCTATTTCAAATCATTATCCAGTTTAATTGCTTCAAATTACATATCCGGTATCATTTCCATGCAAATTGCTCTTCATTTGCCGTATTAAGATTCTATAGCAATTTTTAGTCAAGTGATAAATGATATGTTTCTTTTCAAATTCAAATTCCTGATTATGTTTTGAAATTGCATTTCTTTAATTATCGGGAAAGTATTTTGCCACAATAATAACAAAAAGAATTAATATATCACGATTATTTGTTTTTACCATAAGTTATTTTCGAGCACCACTATCAAATTGTATTTGCTCATTCCTCATGGCAAGGATCTAATGCAATGTCCGTTCAATCGGATGGGATCGTTTGCACAATTGGATGTGTTCATCTACAAAAAAGCTAGAGTAGCACATGAGGTGTATTCCCAGCACGGCCTCATAGCAAAGTGCATTTGCTTTGAAGCATTTGGAACGAAGATTCTCAATTGTGCTATCTTATCATTCAGTAAAGTAACAAATATTAACTGAAAATAAGTAACTTTTTCTACAACGTTATCTGCCTTGTTGGGATTTTTCCTGGAATTTATTGTGAGTTTGTTCTTTCTTAGTAACATCATTATTTGCTGTGTTTTTTTTGAATTTTTCTCCTTTTGAGGAAAGGTATTATTTGAGCTTCAAGCTCATGCTTCTATGATATCCATTCTTTTTATTATAAGCTTTTCAAAATTGATCATCCTTAAAAATAATTTTTGAAATAAATTTTGATCCCACTTTTTAAGGAATATACAATCCCTAACATAGAGATTAATGCGCAAAAAAATTTAAAACTAACAATAATATTCTTTGGGAGGAAAAATTTGAGCCATTGATTTCACCTTTTTCTTGGACGAACCATCACCATCACTTACAAGTATATGCGTCCAGGACGCAAATGTAGAAATGCGTCCGCCAACGCATAAAGTATTTTTCCAATTGAGAAATGACAGTTTTGGTGAGCACCTATGACTATCTAACCTACATCTTTAAGATGGATATGCATAAATGTTACATCCACTAAATGCTAAATTGGACGGTGACTAAAGGAATTAAAAAAACAATATTTATAATTTTTTAAAATAAAAATTCTAAATTTAGATAATTGTCATGGTTGACATTAGTGAACTCTAAAATTTTAGATTGAAAATACATCTTTAAAATATATTTTATAAGGAGACTGCACAAGAATAGTGTGAGTGGCTGACTCACCAAACACTTCCGTTAAGAAAAGCATGCAAAGACACAGGATTCTCTCTCTCCATCCTCTTAT